ACGAATGACGCTCAGGTTTCTTCCGAGACAACAGCACGATTGTCCACAACAGTCCATGAGACCCGATCCGTGAAAGCTGATGGTCGGAGCATGTTTTCGCACGTATACTCTTCCCGTCCGGGGTCCTGATCTCGAACAGCCACTTCGTCTGCTTCCTCCGTGCCGGTGGATACGGCAGCCTCAGTCGTGCTGTCCGCCACCCACTCATCCAGGGCATCCTCGCGTTCGGCCGCAGTTTTAGTTTCCACGGTCCGGATCGCACTGTCTGCCCGATCCGAATCGCCAGCACGAGCATGTAGTTTGGGAATCAGTCGCNGCCAGTAGCACGCGGGCAACTGGTGGTTCCACGCACAATGGGGACAGGTCAAGCATAGCTCGGAGCTGGGCGAATCGCCACTCCAATTCATTCGTCACGAGGGCGCGTAATGCATTCATACTGTGCTCTTCTTCACAACCGGGATTGCTACTTTTGAATTCCGAACAGCGTTGCACGGCCAAAGTCAACGCGTCTTGAACCGCTTCGAGAGCATCTCGAGTAGCACGAAATTTGTCGCTCTCTTCCAGTGTGGAATTGGAAGACTGATTGATACAGATAAGGGGGAACAGATTTGGGGCGAGGAACAGGGAGGGAATAGTCGAAATTTATTCTTACTCGTGACATACAAGACTCCTTAAATAAAATTTGAATGAGAAAAAAACAGTTCGTAATATGGAATGGGAATTTCTCCAATCATATCATTTTCATATATTGAAATGAATCTGCCACGATTTGGGCTCGAAATTCAAAGGATATGAAAGAACAGAGTTCTCTAGTTAGTTCGGTGTGCAGTGTCACAACATTCTGTTTCGTATCAAGGCCTAGACCAATCGTGGAGCGCGCTATTAACAGAGACTGCAGTCCATCGCGCACGGTGCGAAATAAATCTTTGTGATTCAGGAGATGCGTATGATGTACCAGTCATCATCATCATCATCATCGTAACATGCATTTAACGAAACAATATGTGTGCAGTGGTGGCGAGAGCCGCAGAGTAAAGTGAGCTAGGTATACCACAGTCGGTAAGTATCGGACACTTTTCAAGCCCATAAAAAGATCAGTACCACCACCACCGCCATCAACACCATTACTACTGTTTTCGTAGTTTCTTTTTGCAATAAAAATTAGCAATACCTAAAATGAGGGGGCGGGGGCGGGCGGGGGGGAAGGGGGAGAAATGAATTCTACTCTATTGATCTGTGATGAAGATAAACAAACCGATAGACAGGTAGATATGCATCCAACATGAATTGCAACCAACACCCAGTAAGATCAACTCTGTGTGTGTGTGTGTGTGTGTGTGTGTGTACATATAATTGGGTAACGCAGTCAAATTAGCCAATGGTGCGCTTGAAGTAAGTAAATGAGATTGATAGAAAAACAAATTATGATCAAGTTAGACAATTTGATCAAAAAGACGACAACGAGCTAGTTGCAAAAAAAAAATGGGGCTAATCAATTTCTACGGATGTTCAATGCGAGCTGACCAGTGGTCCGGAATAAATTCAATTTTTCCACGACCTGTTTTTTTTTGTTTTCATGGTCCCTATACACACCCTGAAGCAACGATTCGGATTTGTGAAAGAGGAGTAGATCCACGACAAAAATTGCACACACGTCACGAGATGACTGCTGAAACACAACAGGTGGGCGACAGTTTATACTGATGATGGACAATGGGCGATGTGACTATTCGCTGACACGGCTTGCTTGTCGACAGCAGAATCAACATCGCTTGGCACTACATACATGTGATAACCGGCCCAGGTCTCAAAGACGGCCGCGCGAAATTTAAGTGAACGGCTCTTGTGCAGGTTAGGCTACGCTTACCGTTATCCGTGAGACATCACGTGATTTAGAGTCCCGATTAGACAGCAAATCATTTCTCTCTTTCTCTGATACACACATAATCCGGCAAGAGAACTACTTTTTCCGTCAAAAAGAAATATCATTTTAGATGTTTAAATGTTGCCCGATTTGAAATCCAGCTCATCAGAAGCAGTCCGTCATGAATCAATCATCTGGACGATCAACTCAATGATTTTAAATGTTGGAATAATTCATCGGGATTCGAATCCACGCATGGACACCGCTTATGCCTTTGTATATTTCAGTTTGTACAACCGTACAACCGATTTTGGTTGCTGTATTTTGACTGCCTATTTGGATGAACATGAGAAGAAAGACAGGAAAGGTTGAATGTAGGATTAAAGAGAAAATTCAGAATTTAATTGCACTAATTTTGTAGAGAAATTAACACGAACGCCACCGTTTACGACACTAAGTCATATCACTCAGTGTTTCTAACCATCGGGTATGGTCGTCCCGAGGTCCCCATCCAAGGAGCCTAACGGGACGTATGTGACCCAGTCCCCTGATCAGGGTTTTCATACCCTCGTGCCAGGTCTTAACTTGACCACCCTTGACTTTCTTCCATCCACTACCTGCCTCGGTGAACATCGCTCGCCGTGGCAACCTAACTGGTGACATGCGTACCACATACCCCAACCAACGTAATCTATGGAGGTCAACTACTTGCTCCTGTGGACGACCACGTTTAACTAAAACCGTAAAGCAAACCTGGCCGAACTACCGCGGCATACACTCGACCCTTCACAGACAACCGGATGTCGCGACGGCGCCACAAATGTCTCAAGTTGGCAAATGCCAACCGAGCTTTCTGTATGCGAGCTGACACTTTATCCGTGATGCGTCCACCGAGTGAGATGTAGCTGCCCAGATAGCAAAAATTATCCACTTCCTCTACTACTTCCCCAGTTTGGGTGAAACTGCGGGCAGGGCCAACCCAGTCTTGTAGTAACATTTTACACTTTGAAGGTGTAAAAGGCATACCGAACCTGGTTACGCTAGCACTCAAACTATCCAGAAAGGCTTGTAACTTACCTGGATCGTCACTTAGTAGCACGATATCGTCTGTATATTCTGGATCAGACAGATTGCCACCTAGGAGTAAATCGATGCTACTATTCTCGCACGAGGATAGGACTATTTCGATAATCAGATATATAACAAAGTTGAATAGAAAAGGAGAGAGCAACCCTGACGAGCACCACTTTCTGTAGTGAACTCGAGCGAAAAAATGTAGTAAGCTCGAGCTCCACTTCGGCTATTAGTATAAAGCGATCGTAATATTGAAATTAACTTCTCGGGCACACATATCAGAGAAAGGCAGCGCCTAAGTTTAGAGCTCTCGACAGGGTCGAAAGCCGCTTTCAGATCAAGGAAGACATAGATGGTGGGTCTACGGAAGGAATGTCGGTGCTCCAGAGTTTGGAGTTTTGTACAGTGCACAGCCTAGAAGCCAAAAAACAAATGTGTGAGAGAAAATGGAACTGAGCAATTCACACTTACCGAGTCCGCGAGAATCAAATGTGTCGGTCGCTGGTGCTTACTCGTAGTCTGAGTGGAATCCGGATCTAATTTGGTCGGACCGGATTTCCCCAAAGTCTGTACGGGCCCTGGTACGTCTCCGCCACCGGCCACAGTCGGTGATTTCGCATGATCTCGGGTACGTGTCGGTGCTTTGGGTTCGGCCTGTGAGACTCGGTTCAGCCGAAGCTCGGTGGGACGGGCCACTGACGGAGTTGTAGGACTGCGCACTAGGGGTTTGGTCTTTGATGTAGAGACATTCGTGTCCCTAGACACGCTTACAGTGTTCGTTGTACCAGTAGTCGCACCGGCAGAATGTTTCGGTGAGGTGGGTTCCGGCAACCAACGAGCTCTGGTAACCAACGGAGAACGATGACTACCGGTGGGACTGGTCAGAAGCACATGACTCACAGCACGACCAAGTGGCTGTGAGCCGGATTTGGCTGTGCCGGCAGAGCTAAATGTGGCAGAATCGTCCTGAATAGCACGTTGTCCACGTTGAGACCGATCAGCATACGCTTGAGACCGGGACCCGGAGGAATTCAATCCAGTCTGTTCGACTGATATGGTAGAGATTGCTTTTTTCAGCTGACCCTTGGTCTGATTCATGTGAGCTATAGCAACTCGAGTGGCAGTCCCCGGGTCGACAGTTGCGTTTCGGTGACGTGCGGTAAGACCGGCGCAGCCTCCCTTGGTTTTCCCGGTGTCCCGACGCGATTCCACGTTTGTGGGAACAGTTGTCTTCGAACGACTCGAGGATGAGCGAGTCCCAGTCGATGGGACAGACTCGGATACGGGATCGCTGAGATCTGAAGAAGATCCGGGTGATGGATTTTCCGAAGTGGTCATTTTATTATCTACAGAGCATATACAAATGGATGTGGAGCGGATATAAAAATGGTCACGTTAAGACATGGCATAGGTTTAAACAGTGCACAATCATAAGAATTATTTGCACACTATGCGGAAGCGATTTGGTTGCTTCAATATGCAGTGCAACCCGGTATCCAGTGGATACCTATTCTGCTTTTGTACACATTCAAGTCAAGCAAACAGTTGTTTTTGGAATCGAGGGCTTTCGAAGAGTCAGCGACTGCCACACCAGGACCAGGCACAGTGCGAATAACGCACGACTAAATAGATAACACGAACTGCGAATTCGACCATGCAATCGATTCGTGGTGAATAACCATGGCTATACAACAGCAACAACACCAACAACACTTAATGAGATGCCTTCAAAAGCCTCTGTATGATCAGGGGTGGGTGTCTTGGGTTCAAGCTCGTCACCCTGCCCTTACATCTCCGGAGATGCTTCTATACGACCGACCGTCTCAAATAGCCAATTCTCCTAAAGAAGCTCTAGTTGGGGCCTTCTCATGGTGGAGGTGAGAAGACGAAAAGCCAATATCCTGGAGCTATAAACGGGTCGGTGAACCACTAGCAGTTCATCTAGGGGAGTTGGCTAAAAACTCTGACTCCAAACGAACCAAGAGGAGGCGTACGAACCACACTTCAACCCCCCCACCCCTCCCACAGCTTCTTAGTTGTGACAGTGGTCACCGGCTGGATCGGGCATCAGTATGTATTGAGCAAGTTGGACGTTTGACCCCGTCCAAACGGTGTCTGATCCGATGAAATGGACATCGGCACCCAATGAACCGTGGTTTTCTCACAACGCCCCACTGCCTTACGAGTTAGGTTTTTGGGCTATAGCCAAAGGCTCCGCGGTGGTGAACTCCCTCTAAGAAAATTCACCTGCTTTGGTCTGGCCAACCGGGAAGTATCGCATCCTCGAGCAAATCATGGGCTATTTTTTTCTTTTGGTACAAATTATTGTAAANTTATGAACCTAGACGCGTGAAAAATAAAATAAACACTTGATGCGATATGATCAGAGCGAGAATGTTTGTGCCGAATCCCGAAAGACCAAGAAGCGGGAACGTTCAGGACGACAACTGAAAAGAAAAAAAACGTATTCCACGTGCAAATCGCCAAAACTCGTAGCACGATAAAATGGAGCGCGGGTACACGTGGGAGAATTTCATCCGTGTATCTGTAGTTGTAGCTGTATATCGCATGACAGAGATTCACGTAAAATTGGAGTGTAGCAACTGGTTCAACAACGAACAGGGAAGATAAAGTCAATCAAACGTCACGAAATGAGCGCGGGAAAAAAAAAAAGAAAACTGGGGGGAGTCCGGTTGGGAATTGCTAGCAAAATCGGGATAGTGTATGAGCCGAATTCGAGATTGTATTAAATCATGACGTGAGTTTTTAAAGGCACTAGATGTTCTCGTTAAATCCACAAATGGTCAGCTTGAGATTATTAACCAATTCGGTTTTTATCTGGTTATTTATATTTTATTTTCACAAACGTATCTGAAGCCAGATTGTGTGCCAAACAAATCACGGTACACTAATCTCTGCAAAAAGACAAATGGTTCATGCTTTGCTCAAGAGCGCGATTCCGAAAGGATGCCCTGGTCAAAGCAGGTGAATTTTTCTAGAGGGAGTTCATAATCGGAGCCTTTGGCTAACCAAAGCCTGACCCACAAAACAGTCGGGCGGTGTGTGAAAACCGCAATCCATTGGGAGCCGGTGTTCAGTTCATCGGATCATACGCCCTTTGGACGGGGTCAAACGTCCAAGATGCCCAATACACACTGATGCCCAATCGAGCCGGTGACCAATGGCACAACTAGGAAGCTGTGGGGGAGTGAATGTGGTTTGGAACTGGGAGTGGTTCAACCAACCCGGTTATAACCCCACATATTGACTTTTCGTCCTTTCACCTTGGTGTGAGAAAACACCTGCGCTACGAGAAGACAGTAAGAGATAAGAAGGCTTCCTCAGCAGAATCCGCTATTTGAGATGATTGGTCGCATATGGGAGTATTTCGCGAGGTGCAAGGGAAAGGTGACCAGCCACAACACAAAATACGCATCCCCGACCATACCGGAGGCTTTTGATCCAACAACAGGGATTCAATCGCTGTTTTGTAATAGTTTGGAGCACAAATAACTTTGTTTCGGAGATAAAATCATATATATATATATACATATATATATATATACATATATATATATATATACATCCGGAGCACTAAGTGATGGTAGTTGTTGTGACGTTTCGATCCAGACTAGGACTCGTTGTCAAACGATAATACGTGTGAATGATTTGGGTCTGCTTGTGCCTCACAATGTGGTTTGCGTCGCGCCTGTTTGTCCATCAAACCCGCGTTCCTCATTGGTTGTACAATCGTTGCGTAATGTTTATCGATTTCCACCTGTCGACTGAATGAGTTGGTCGAAAGCAGCGCTTCAAGGATCAGACGTTCCCCCTTCCCCTTTGCCCTTGTCACTACTTTTGCATCATTGATTCTGACCTCGTGACCTGTCCGTGCACAGTGATTCCAGAGGTGCGATTTCGGGTCGGCGCGTCGTAGTGCAAGTGTGTGTTCGTGGAGGCGAGTGCACAGTTGTTTGCCTATCTCTCCCACGTAAAGTTGGTCTAGGCACAGTCTAGGCACAGAATTGTGTATACCACCCTTGATTGGTCGTGTGGTTCTGCATGGGACTTGCCGTTGAACAAGATTGACCGCAACGTTATTGTAGGTTTGTGGGCAATGGTGACACCCAGAGGGCAAAGGATGCGATCAACGGCTTCTGATACCCACGTATGTATGGTAATCAGAGTTTCGTTTTCTTCTTCCCCTAAAGCATGGTTGGACGAAACTTTTGGGGTATTCATTTGTGAGGAATTGATGGAACAGATGCATTCGTTCCTGATGCAGGAGTTCCTCTGTGCTACAGTATGTGTCTGCACGACGGAATAAAGTGTATACACAGCTCCTAAGGTGACACGTGGGATGACTGCTGTCGTAATTCAGCACCTGGTCTGTACACAGTGGTTTCTGTGTTTCCGCCTGGTTTTCTTATGACGAGGACGTCCAAGAAAGGGAGCTTCATGTTGTTTTCCTCCTCGCGGGTAAACGCTCTCCCTGACTCAACCTTGTTCAGGGTACCATAGAATTGCTCGATTATTTCTGCCGGTAGCACCGCAAAGGTATCGTCCGCAAATCGAACCCAGAGGCGAGGGTGCTAATCTTCAAATGCTTTGGCTTCGAATTGTTTCATCACCGCATCAGCTAGTAAGCCGGACATTGGTGATCCCATTGGAGTTGCTTTCACCTGCCGATTTATCCTCCCGTCAAACTGTAGGTATGTTTCCATGCAGAGTTCAAGCAGCTCCATGATGTCAGTCACTAATAGTGGTGCAGCAGTACTGGGAGCAGTACCGGTGCAACAATGAGTGTCATCTCGGAAAAACAAAACGATTACATCACATGCACCCATGTGATCTGAATGAATGTGGCAGCAGCAGCAACAGCAACAGCAGGAGCGTCAACAAGGCATGACAACCGCCACCAAAGGCGCCATCGCGTCCGCTTTGTGTTCCTTCGATGCAAATGATTAATGATGAAGTTAACTTATTTAGGAAAGAAAATTTGCTAAAAAAGATAGCTCTAGAAGATTAAAAAACGACATTTAGTATTTCCATGTTTACAATGTAGATTGAATAAATACCAAAACACGATTATATCACAGAAATAGGAAAGGTCATTTGATGAATTAATCTTACATCTCTCGTACTGCGTGTGCTTGAAGCACACACATATATACACACACAGGCACTGTTCCTCTGATGGGTGATAACCAGGAACAGNACACACACACATTCACACACACACACACACACACACACACACACACACACACACACACACACACGAGGATAAACTTGACAATAAGATGGATCTAGCAAATTTAAATTAAACAGAAAAAAATTGAACGGCAAATAGGTTTACCTCGAGCCACAGAAGCTGACCGCCCCTCGGTCGATTGAAGATGCTGTAAAAGAATGCAAAGAGAAGAAGCAAGAAGGATGGGGGGGGGAGGGGAGGGGAGAGGGAGTGGAGAAAATTAACGAGGCGATGATGAGAGCGAAATTTCACTTGATCAAAATAACAATTTAACGAGGCCCAGGTTAGCATTTCTCAAGTAGAAAGCAAAATTTATTCAGTAGCAGAGGAACAAGAGGAGAGGAGGATAGACAAACAGATAAAAGGGATAGCATAACCAGTGGAAAGAGAGGTGGGGCAGTAGAAGAGGGGAGGTGGAGGGGGTTAAGATCGACATGTACCTCCACTCGGTCCTACTCATTCCACTCGCTATTTACATAGTCCCAACTTCATCGTCTACAGACGACAGTTCAATCCACGTCGCAGATGAGGATACACACATTTATTGATTGATCACGTAAAAATTCGACTGAATTATTGAACAATAAATTGGCTCTGACAGTCAAGATGGTTTTGGCATGATTTACAAAATATGAACTTTGCAGATTGTCTAAAACAGTGTCTGTTTGTCTATCTGTCTATATGTTTGAAAACGTACAAAACACATGTTCAAGCAGAAAGCCGTTCATTTCTGCGCTCAGTTGAACAGGGGTAAAAGGCGATTCCCATGTAAGTGAGGCAGAGAGAAAAGTCGGTGATCCGGTTATCTGAAATTTAACTACCCTATTTCTGTGAATTAACACACACACAATTAAATTTTACCCCAAAATACAAACAAAGAATGATAGACCGTAATAAATAACATTCAACTGAGGTTAACAGATAGTCAGCTGTGTCTTCCTTCGTTGCTATCGGGCTAAATTGAACTGACTATCTCTAAAGACGATACACTTGAACAAACATGAATTGACAATCCGGTTCAGCCCCGTGGCATGAGGTGGTTGGCACAGTGGTAACGCACACACGCCTTCCATGCCCGATGGGTCCGGAGTTCAAATCCCGGAAGGTGGGATGGTGGAAATGCACTACTGATGAGCACTAATAAGGGCGAAACCCGAGTCTCGTGCTTCCCGCATGTATGGTTGACTGGAAAAGCTGGGGATTGTGCTTGAAAATGAATTGTCCGGGATGGTCAGTCCCAATCAAAATATCTATCATACCGTCTTTCATACTACACATAGTTTTCCGTCGGGGGACCAAGGTCGCTTGTGGGAAACTGAGGGAGTGGATTGAATCCGCGGCAGCTATACGATATTTGGACACGGAAGATTGATTTGGGTTCCTGACACCCTATAGTCGTCGCGTCAAACCGGAAGGCAAAGATCTCGTTTCAAAGATACTACTATCTCAATCACCTCCGCTCCCGCTGAGTCAGGACTGTTGTAAAATCTGTGCTGCAGTGATGTGACTAAACTTCACTCGCCGCTGGATCGCTCAGTTTCTGACATATGCCGTTAGTGATGTTGTGCACAGTTATTCACTAAAGAATCGAAACCAATGGCAACATACTGGCACACGGGATGACTCATTTCCGATAACTGTTGATTCTGCCACCAATGTCAAACCGGATAGAATGGTCCAGTCTATCGGCCCTTCTGAGTCATGCCCCCGACAAGCGTAAGCCAGTCTAGAAAACGAATCTAAACGTGGCACGATGGAAGTGTGAACTGTGGAGGTCAGGGTAAGTAAGCGGTGTGTGTGTGTGTGTGTGTGTGTGTGTGTGTGCAAGAGGGCACAAGTGACAGTACTGGCCAGACAAGATGTTCGAACAAGTTTTCACCATTTGACCCCGGTGTTTCCTACAAACTGCCGTGAGGCGAAAAACTACGTACTGCGAGGGGAACGCGGTGGAGCGGAGGATGCAACGAGCTGGACTAGAAGTAAGCGCATTAGAAGGCTTAGTTACGGTGGGAAAAAATATCAAACTGTCGACAACTAGTCACAATTGTTCACATTCCCAAATCCCCTAATTCAAGAGTTCCATCCTATCACTTTAACTTCTGTTGGACTTAAACTAAAAGAACCTGTTCTGCATTCAGTCCCACTTGATTTCAGGTTATTTACAAAACAAAACAGATGCATGCTAGATGCACCTTCCTCATTTGTACATAAAATTATCAAATCATTGAATGACTCTGAGAAATCTGTTCGTTATGTGTTTCTGGACTATTCATCTGCCTTTCACTCCATTGCTCGTTCCCTTCTTCCTCATAAATTGGCGATCTTCGATTGTCCAAGGTAGTTATTATCTCACCTTGCCGATAACTTCTCCAGGAGAACTCAATGTACTAGGTTAGGTTTAAGGTTGTTCAAACCATTGGTGAACAATTCTGGGGTACTCTAAGGTGCAGTCCCTTCCTCCTCCTCCTCCTCCCTTATTTTCTACGTATCTTAGTGACCAGTCCGCTAACGCCCCTACTTCTCTCTTCAAATACCCTGACGATATTATGTCCGGCCATCTCCGATTCTTCTAGTCTTTCACAATTTTCTGACAATTTGGAAAACATTCAGCAATTTTTTTCGCCACATCCAGTCACAGGATCAGAACTCAGATGAACATGGTCCAACCCGGATTGCATAGAATACGATGAGCAATGTGGCTTCGTCAAACAGAGAACCACCTTGCATGCGAAAGAAAGGAGTGCGTGAGGGAGGGAGTGAGTGAGTGAAATCTTACAACTCATTGCCAACGGATCGGGGTCCAGATCAATTTACCTTGAACGAGAGGATAATATGCCTTTTTGATTCCATTGCACGCCCCCCCCCCGAAAAAAGGAAAGAAAGCAAAGTTTTGTTTCACCATACGTGTTCTAAAAAAACTTATTATTTATTGCTCAAGTTGAATCAAAGTTAGAAAAAAAGTAATTGTATGCAGTCCGACCAAAACGAAGACAGGATAGGGACCAACGGCGATATGTGTATTTTACTGTTGAAAAAAATCACCCTCTATTATTTGGTCAGCCTGATTGGTTCCTTACAAATGGTTCGAGTATTCTAATTGGTCTCCTTCACCTAATGACCTTTCAAGTTAGGAAAACAGATTCACTTCAGACAGTGCAAGTGGTTTTCTGATCGATTTCGGATTTTGACAAAGATGTCCGAAGCATGTGAGTAATGGAGGATTTGATTCAATTTCAAATGGGAATTCTTCGTGTATGTAGCAGATGAAGCGTGAACGGAAAAGCAGTTTGTCAGTTAGAGGCTGATGGGACTTGGACTGTGACCGGAATATGAATATGAATACTCAGACAACTTACCGGATCCACTGTATTTTGTAACGGTCTGATTCGTGATGTGGATGTTCCCGTATTCAGCGACCCAGGTCTCTGATAGGATCTGGATGCGGGTGCAGGAGAACAGCTAAATGAGTGAAGGAAAGAGTGGACAAAAGTGAGAAGATAAGCATCGGAACGAGAGAAACGAGTTGAGATTGGTCGAAGTTGTAAGTAGATGATGATACATTCGAAAGAAAACAGCCGAAAATATCATCAGATGACGCTGATAATTTAACCCAACACCAAAACACACACATAGGATTACTTGTTAGATACAGTGCAAAGATACATTTCTGGATGAGAAGGAATAAGTGGGCGAAAATAAATGAAACTCGCCAGAAGAACGAAAAAAGATAATGAATTTCAACAAACAAGTGATTTACATTGAATGTTTTCAAGCAGAGAATGGTCTAACTGTCCATATCATGTGCCCTCAAAATTCCAATCCCATCAGTTCAATATAGAACTTGATGTTGATTGGAACTCGATTTCACATCCAAACACCCCTTTGAAGTGCGGTGTACAGTCTGAAAGCGCTGGCCGAAGGCAGTTCAAATTTGCCGATTGCGTAGAATACAGACAGTTTGACCAAAGTGTAGGGAATAAACTGCAGCGGCTGGAGAATACAGGGATTCTGATAGGTTGGTAAAACTATTTTGAACGGACGGTTCGAATGCACCGTTAAATTTACACGCTCCCTCTGTGGACAATCGAAGCATCGCATAATCAATGCTACATTTGAAAATCTATCAACTCTACAGACAAATCGACGAAAAGTGGATGGGTGCTCTTGAAGAGTGGCGTTCCTCATTCGCCGGAATGTACACTTTGGAGGTCAACAGCGAACAGAAAGTAAGAATGAACAATCAGCATTTGCGGGTAAACCTCATCGAAAAGTGATTGTGATTAGTAGTAGAAGATAGCTATCAGAAAAGAGATGGCGACAAAACTAGGAATTAGACAAGAGATAAAACGGATGATCGACTCCGTGTGTTTTCCTCAGGTTTTTTTACGCTTCGAATCCATGTGAATAAGACACTTGAGACGGTATGAACTCACGGAAGCCCCAGTTACCACGCTCCTACGTCCATCTAGCGGTTTTTTTGACCGATAAACTGCCCCTCACCGTGTTTATTTGCTGAAATGACCTCTCTAGGGGCGGGTGTGGATAGACGAAGAAAGCCAGGAGGTGCCCAAACAACTGGCTTTGTGAGACTGATCTTTGTCTGGCCTCTACACATTGACCTTTCAGGAATGATTAGATCTGCGGTTGTGAAAAACCATCCTGTATAGCTCGCAGGGTCATGGAGGCACACAAGCCATGATACCATGCCAATGTGCCCCTGGAACCGCGAATCTTCGCGTTGCAGTTCGAAAACCTTATTCTTGATCTATATAGTCGCCAATCAAAATTTAGTCGCAGGAATGGAACAATGCCCTCGGAAATATTTAGTTTTTACGATTGCATTCTTGCGCTCGAAGTGTCGGTTGGGGTAAGAGTTCCGATTGAAAACTCGAAGGTTTACGGTTCGA